GTATATATGTATGCATTGACATTCCCTGGCATCACTGAAAATCTCCCCCAAACTGATATGCATCAAACCACGGACTTCAGTAATAACTGAATCAGCTTGATTTTCTTATGCTTGTTTTTCTTTAGGAGAGGCACAACATGTTTTCCTTCTCTAGCTTCCAAAAGTTTTAAATATGATTATCAGGAGGTTTTGTTAAAATGACACGGGACTCAAGAGTGGGCCCACATTAAAGTGAAGGTGTCGGGGGGGGGACGACATGTCCAAATTAATGAACAGTAAAAAAATTACGTATGCAAAAGGGAGACAAGGACAAGATATTCAAACCAAGAGCGATATGTAACAAGTTGATATACTGCAAAGTTAAGCCGACCAAGACTTCAAACGAGCTCCTTGTATTTTCATTTAATGCACCTTACACATTGTTGTGCTTTGCAATAAAATCACAATATGTAGCATTACAGGTTTTCAAGGCATTTTGCATGTATTGTTTTCATAAACCTTTGCAAACAACAGTCCTGTAAGGTGGGTCAGAATGATTATCCTTCTACTGCAGATGCAACAGGGAGAGTGGGCTGGCAGAAACCTGCCTGAATTGACCTACTGAGTTATTGGCAGCAGCGAGCTTTGATCACACCTGCAAACCTAGACCCACTTACCTGGGAGTAAGCTCCAATGAACTCAATGACACTCGGTTCTGAGTAGTAGACATGTAAAGGATCCCACTGTTAGCTACTACATTACAGTAGGTCTCCACATATAGTTTTCTCTCTCTCTCTGCCCTTCAAAGAAAGGATACAAAAATAGCCAGGACAAAAGTGCCCTTGCACAATTCCTTACTATGCCAAAGTATGTTTGCTGTGCAACGTAAAAGCACGTAAGAAAAGGCTCGTTGGATCAAACCAAGCAAAGGTCCAACTAGACCAGCATCTCGTTACCGATAATCGCTAGGCAGATGCTTAAGAAGCCCACCAGGAAGGCTGGAAGACAATATATTTTTCATGCTGTTGCCCCCACCCTAGCAAGCAGTGTTCAAGAGCCATACGACCTCTGAACACAAGGGACTTGATCTGCGCGCAGTGGCTAATAGCCCTTGATAGACCCCACCCTGCTCCATAAATTTGTCTCATTTCTTTTAAAAGCATCCGAGCCAGCCTCCATCGTCACAACCTGTGTCGGCACACAGCCCATCAATTAAGCACAGTTTATACGAAGAAGCAGCGCTTTCTTTTGCCCGTCCAGAATCAGCTGCCAATCAATGTCATTGAGTGACCCCCAACTTTCTAGTGTTCTATGTTTTATATGGGCACAGACCCGCAGAATGGAAATCTGGTTGTGCATAATCCTTTGCAAATGCATTGTTCCTGGCCAAAGCCAATCTGCTCCGATTGCAGCATGTCTTTGTGGGGATGGTGTGTGTGTGTGTGTGTGTGTGTGTGTGTGTGTGTGTGTCCCCCTGTCCATCCTACCCTTTATTTAATGCCTTTGCTAGTAAATCTTCCAGAGGGGTAGTGGGAAGAACTAAGTGGCTCTTCAGACGATGTCAAGAGGGCAAAGCCAGGCTTTCTGAGTTTTATTGCTTAATCAAATTGCTTTTCCTTCTGATGGAACAGCCATTAGATGAAACCGTAGCTGCTTCCAAACCTCCCTTCCCATCAGCTGACCAGACATCTTCCCAGCCTCCTCGGTGGGTTTTTGAAATAGACCAAACCAGATGTTGGAGGGGCTATGTCGGAAAAACATGTGCCCACGCTGGCAAGCTCGCAAGACTTTTCCCTGGGAGCAATTAACCCGGAATTAACTAGCACTCCCTAAAATCACTAGCATCCCTCCGATGCCAAACTCAGCTAGCAAGTGCCGAAATAATTTTAGCCATAATGGGGGCTGCTGAGAAAGAAGTGGGGGGAATCAGAATGTCTGTGGGAGGAGAGGGGCAGCAGAGGTTTGTGGAAGTGTAAGAAATCGTTTTGCAGGTTCCCCTCAGAGAACCCCACCCACAAACATGAATTGTGCATGTGTGAGTACCTAAAAATCCCAGCGAACCAGGCGAAAGGCCTGCATACCCCAGTGTGGTGTTAAGTTAGTTCTTGTTTCCACCATGTTCAACCAAGACCACAAGCAGGGTGCCAAGATCTCTTTTCCCACCCCCTTGTAATCCACAAGTGCTCGCAACCTCTGCTACTAGAGGTCGTATGTGTGGCTCTTGAGGAAGGGAGAACCCATCATTTGACCACCCGATGGCGAATAAAACTAAGGTTTTTAACAGATGTTTTGAGGGCAAACTCGTCTGAATTAAGTGCTCTTGCCCACGGAAATGCCCCCCCCTTCTAAATGCAGGATTTACACTTTACGCTGCATCAATAGGGGAGCCAGCAGTGAGACAGAGCATTCTTTCTTTTTTTGACTGGACCTGCTTCTTCCTCTTTATCACCTGCCTGGGCACGCACAAAGCAAGCAGAAGATGCTTTACCTGGCAAGCAAGCAAATGGCAGGTAAAGTGTCACCTGGTAAAATTCTGCAGGTGGGGGGGGCTGCCCTTAAAAGGCGCAGCAGTTAACAACAATGGCAAGCCTAGACATCAGCCTATTTCATTTATCCTTTGTTTCGTTCGTATGGTTGCCTAGTCCCCATGAAAACTGGCACCGTTTTACTGATGAGGAGGCACAGGGAGGACCGAAAAGCAGATCTGTTCAAACAGGGAGGGGTGGCTGTGGTGTGATCTTCTGGTCAATTAATTTTAAAAAGGAGAACTATACAAATGAACCCCCTCACCTCCCACTCCACAAATATTGGTCTCCCTGGGGATCGCCTCTCTTCCGACTTTTATTTAGTGTGGACCTCACAGAATAAATCTTAAAAGAGCAGAGGCGGGGAGGGGGGAGAATTGCCCATCTGGTTGCATGATGAGCAAACTAGAGCTTTATCCACCCATTGTCCCAACAGCAGGGAACAGACGAGGGGGCTTTCAAAAGGAAATCTACAGCCACATACTCCAGAGAGCTTGCTGCATGAGTCTGCTCAGCAAAAGCAGCCAGTCAGTCCAAATCCTACATAGGCTTAGTTGGGAGCAAACCTCACCAAACTCAGCATTCGTGAGCCTGAGTCCATTTATCCAGATGCACCCAGGGGAATTTAATTTAATTATCTCCGATGGCAGGCAGCTTGATCCGAACTCAGTCTGGGTTCACAACAACCTGCCATGGAAGTAAGTGAGCTAGTAAGAAGACGGAAGCTCTGGACATGGGCAGAAATACACTTTCCTTTGCCAAGCTCCAAAATCTCCCCCTTACTTCCAGGCAGGATGCAGCAGTTTCGGCAGGTGTGGCTTGCTGCTACGGTGCTGCTTGGAGATAGGAAAAGCTGCGCCTGCCAAAATTCTCTCTTTCTACGTGCCTATTTTCTTTAAAAAGCACATGAGCCTTGACCTCTATTGGGTTGGGTCCCAAGAATCTGTAGAAAATGAATCACTCTCAGTTTTGGCCTTGAAAGGTAAGCCAACTCATTCCTTGTAGTCTCTTGCTGATAGCTGATGCCAGATGAGCAACCTCAGCAGCAGCACCCCCCAGAACCAGCCCCCCCCCCATTACTCTGGAAAAAGAAGGACCTGCATCTGTTATCTGGGTGTAAGATGAAGCTTCTCTGTTCCCTATTGACCATCCTAAACAGTCACTAGGCACATTTATTTCTCAGAAATCTTGTAGGTGTGGGTAGTTGTCATAGAACAAGGGAGGCTGGGGTTGCAATCCTACACACCCAAATGACCTAGGAGTAAGTCCTATTGAGCTCAAGGCGTCTTGCTTCCGAGTAGACTAGTCAGGATTGCACAGCCAGGCAGATTTCCCTCTTCTGCTTAGTTTGCACACCTGTATAATGTGGCTCCGTTTCCCCTTGCATCTACTATCTCCCCCCCCCCCTCAATTTTCTCTGTCCTTTCGTTGATGTCCGATTTCGCCGGCGTCAGCCGTAAGAAAAAAGGGGGGGGAGCGGAGTGAAGTGTGCCCGCTCCAACACTGCAGTAACCAGAAAGACCAACCAAAGCACACTAACGTGGAAACGGATCCACCCGCCCCGTCCCAACTCCACCCGGCGTTTACTGTTCCAGGACCTTAAATATATAGCGAAGAATTTTTGCACAAGGTGGCAAACTGAGCAGGAAGCGAGAAGGCGAGATGCCAGCCTGGAAGAAACACACGCACAGCCCCCCCCCCCCAGGCGCTGCGTGGCTTGCCTTGCAGCAAACGGCTCCGCCGCCAAAGGGCTCGTCGGAGTTCGCAAGGGCGGGTCTCCGCCCGGCCGCGTCGGAAGGAAACGGGAGTTCCGACGGGGCTCTGCGCAGCCAAGCCAAGCCAAGCTTGCGCGGCGGCCAGGGGAGATCTTTGCAAACTCGACGGTGTGCGTTTGTGCGCGTAACAGGAATTAAACCGCGAGGCTGCAGAAGCTATAGCCGGGTATCCAAATCCCACTTGCTCTCGTTTTAAAATAAAGAATCGGGACCAACAGTGCAACCTCAGCTCTCCCAGCCCCGCTTTTTGCTCGACAGCCGCCGTGCAAAGAATCGGGTGCAGGTTCCCACCTACCCACCCAGCTTTCCCGCTCCAAGTGCACCAGCCACTGAGAGCCCCCCCCCCCGAGCCTTTGCAACGGTGGCTCCGCGCACTGCTGCTGCTGCAAGCGGCGATTGCTCTTGGCGGCTCCCGGCGCGCCACCTGCACGCGGGTTGGCGCTGCAAGAGGAGCCTCCTCAACCCGCCACCGCCTCCTCCACGCCACGCCTGCACCTACATCCTCGACAGCAGCAGCAGCAGCAATTGTTGCAGGCTGCCAATCGCTCCGTTGCCCAGGCACCCCCGCGGGTGCAACGCGTTGCAACAGCCTCTATCCACCGTTCCCTCCCTTCCCCACTCCCGGGTTGCCCTGGATGCTAGCGGGGCGGAGGAATTTGCATGCTACGAGGTAAAAAAATAAAACAAAAAATCATGCATGGGCTACTCCATCCGGACTCACGTCTCGGAAGCGGTTCCAGTGCTTGATCTTGCCGCTGTACTGGGAGATGGAAGACAGCCATTGCTCGTCCTCCATGAAATTGCCGGGATTGTCGCCTTCTTTGGCCGCCTTGCCGTCCCCTTCCGCCAAGGCGAGGGCCAGCAGCAGCGGCAGCAGCGGCACCAGACAACAGCCTGGGGCTCTCATCTTGCCTGCGAGGCGGTGGCTCCCTCGCTGGCCGCAAAGCGATTATTGAGACTTCTTCTTCTTCCTCTTCCTCCTCCTCTGATCTCTCTCCCGGCTCGGAGGGAGAGAAGGGCGGCTGGATCCCCGCTGAAATGTGACCTGATTAGGAGATGCACTACTTCTGCGAAGCCCGGCGCTGCCTGGGAGCCACCGGGAGGATTACGGAGTCTGCGCCAAAAGAGGCAAGCTTAAGTCACTGGAGCATCAGCATCACATTTGACATCATCATACCTGTTAAAAGAAGCCCACCCCCGACGGAAGGGGGTTGGAGGGGACCGGGAGAGGGACGGGGCGGGGGGGAGTAAGGACTCGGAATGCACCGGTCTCTTCGACTTCTGCCTAATTTGCAAAGGGCAACTCAGTGTGGCTATTGACTCATAATGACAGTGCATAGTCCAAGAAAGACCTTGGGAGGGGGGTCCCAAATTATTTTTACGAGCAGGAACCCTACAGCTTTTTAGTTCAGTAGCTGTGGCCAGTTTGGGCGTAGCCAGGATTTATGTGGGCATAAATCGGGTGGGCACCCGTCATCATCCTCTGTCTGGCTCTGTCATGGGGAATGAAATGTCTCCACAACCGTTGTTTTAAATTGCTTTCTTTTGACACCAAGTGCTCAGAAAAATATTTTCACAATTTCTACTTTTAGTTAAGCATTTTGATTTATTTACTTGATGGGGGGGGCACTGCCCTCCCCCCCCCAAGCTACGCCCATGTCCCAGAAGAAATATACACGAAAGAGGAGCTTATTGTGATCGAAGGCATCCAAGCATTCAGGGTTATACAGAACTCTGAGCAGGTTGGGCAGACAGCAGTTTCTTTTAAAGCTATAGGGCAGGTAAGAACATCAGAAGATGCTGCTGGATCAGGCCAATGGCCCCTCTAGGCCAGCATCCTGTTCTCACAGCGGCCCGCCAGAACCCAAGCACAAGAACACTTCCCTCCTGTGGTTTCCAGCAACTGGTATTCTAAAACATCATACTGCTTCCAGCTGTGGAGACAGAGCTGCGCATCACAGCTTGTTGTTGTTGTTGTTTAGTCGTTTAGTCGTGTCCGACTCTTCGTGACCCCATGGACCAGAGCACGCCAGGCCCTCCTGTCTTCCACTGCATCCCGCAGTTTGGTCAAACTCATGCTGGTAGCTTCGAGAACACTGTCCAACCATCTCGTCCTCTGTTGTCCCCTTCTCCTTGTGCCCCCAATCTTTCCCAACATCAGGGTCTTTTCCAGGGAGTCTTTTCTTCTCATGAGGTGGCCAAAGTATTGGAGCCTCAGCTTCACGATTTGTCCTTCCAGTGAGCACTCAGGGCTGATTTCCTTAAGAATGGATGCGTTTGATCTTCTTGCAGTCCATGGGACTCTCAAGAGTCTCCTCCAGCACCATAATTCAAAAGCATCAATTCTTCGGCGATCAGCCTTCTTGATGGTCCAGCTCTCACTTCCATACATCACTACTGGGAAAACCATGGCTTTAACTATACGGACCTTTGTTGGCAAGGTGATGTCTCTGCTTTTTAAGATGCTCACATCACAGCTATCAGCCATCAATTGCTCTCTCCTCTGTGAATTTGTCCAATCTTCTTTGAAAGCCATCTAGGTTGTTGGTTACCACTACTTCCTGCGGAACTGAGTTCCATAGATTAACTATGCGCTGCATTAGGAAGCACTTTCCTTTATCTGCCCTGCATCCTCTATCATTCAGCTTCACTGAATGCCCACCACCAGTGCTGGCATTGAGAGGGGGGGGTGCTTTCCCCCCCCCCCGGTGTCCACTTTCCTCATGTCATGCATAGTTTTATAAACTTGTGCCGTGTCGCCTCTTACTTGCCTAAAAAGTTCCCAGTGCTGCAGCCTTTCTTCATAGAGGAGTCTCTCCATCCCTTAAGGGGTTGTGTCACACAAGATGTATGGGCCTGCCGTAGGCTTGGCACTCAACAGGGAGCTGTAGCGAGCTCAAGTGTACCCAAAGGATACACACAGTGATGCTCTTAGGTAATATTAGCTTCTGGACTTCATGGTCATATGGGACCGTTAGTAATGTGTATTACAGTATTTCCACTTCCTGCAATATGTACTAAGCCACCCCCTCTGTGTTTGGGGTGGTGCCTAGATGGCATCACTCGATATAGCTGTTTGTTGCATTCGCACTTTACATCTTAATTTTACTCCCCAAAAAAGGCCCCCTGCAGCTAGAGTGGCTTTACAGGAAAGGCTTTTAACCCCTCAGGTCACATCAGATACTGTTTCTCCCACACCCATGTTTCCCCACACTTCCTAGCTATATGATACTGCAGGAACTCTCTGGGGGATTACAGCTGTTTGTAACGACTTTGCCAAATGTGATAACTAAACATTTCAAGCCCAACTGCTTCTACTCAAACCCCTGCTCCCCAACTGAAAACTGCTGGATTCCGTACAATCTGGTGTCTCGAGGGATCCTAACCTATTCTCACCCAAGCACCAGTGCGGCAACAGCAAGATCATACAAAGGACCAGGCCTGTACCAAACACAAACACCTTATCAGAATATCTGGACACATTTTAAAAGTGGGGAAGGGGGCACCCATTTGGTAGGGCGCGACCATGCCAGTATTAATAACTGTGAGGCCATTGTTCTCCACAGGAGAGAGTTATGCATGCCCTGGACTTTCCTTCTGAAATAATAAGTGGGAACTGAAAGTGCTTAACTGTGGCAGGATCATGTCCACAACACTGACTCCCCTCACTCCCAAAATGCATACTGTACTCAGATTATTAAATGCAGCTACTCTTGCTGACCTGAATACTGTAGTTGTAGAACCTGTCAATTGAAACAACAGCGATAAAAACTAACCTCTACCTCACCAGATGTCCACCCTCCCTGTTCTCTGCTGCTACTATACTGGGCAATTAAGTGCACTGTCTAGCATATCACCTACGGGGTTCAACCACGTAGCAGAATTTGATGTTGCAAGTCTACACTGAGACTTCCTTACTTTTGCAGCAACAAAGCCAATCAGTCCTGGTTCTTCCTGTGGGGGGGTTTTACAGTCTTGCCAGACTCATGCTGCAACCCTGTGCACACCTATCTGGACATAAACACCATTGAACATGCATAGGAGTAAAGGGCGGGGGGAGCCAACACTTCTAATCTTCTAATGTTGTGCATGCTTAAGACAGTATCTTTCCAGCTCTTCAACCCAAACCCACCCCCCTCAAGAACCTCCAAGCCCATAGTCAAGGATTCATCCACTCTAAATTGGGAAAGCAGACAAAGAGCTATGGTTTCTCTTCTCAGAAAATCCTCCAAGAACAGGATACAAATGAGCTCTCCCGTACCTTTTCCTGGCCAATCATTTTTGATAGAAAGCGTCAAGGAATACCAGTAGGGCATTTAATCATTGGACTATGCAGGGATGTTAAAACCCGTTTCAAGAGTTGACGCACATGCTTTTCACTGTCTTGACCTCCTGATAACAAACTGCTGGAAACTATAAGCCACAATGGGCCACCCTATCTCTCTCTCTATTATCTATCTATCTATCTATCTATCTATCTATCTATCTATGTATCATCAGTGAACATTGCATATGAAGAGTACAGATGGGTATTTTGAACAGACATTAAACAAAAACTAGAGGGTGAGTTTTTAACATCACGTGAGTTAACCAAAGAAGAAGAAGCCAGGACATAATAAGATATGTGATTATTTCCATGGATCAGATGAAGAGTCATTCCAAAATGTGATGGGGGAAGCTGAAATTTAGAAATCCCATTATTGATATATGGAAATAATCAGAGACCATTAAAAAGTTCTTGTTTGGCTGTCTCCTAGCCGGGGTGGGGGTGGGGGGAGTATTCCTATGAGGCCCAGGCAACATGACAAATAGCATGGGATGTTGTTGTGTCCATGTTGTCCCTGTTACTCAGATAATTAAAAAAATAAAGAAAAAATCCCAGCCCAATACTGTAAATATATAGCAGGACAAAGTTTCCAAATGTCTATTATTATTATTATTATTATTATTATTATTATTATTATTATTATTATTAAATTTATATACCGCCCTATACCTGGAGGTCTCAGCTATTTCCTTCCTGCCAGTCACTAGTATAACATATTTAAGAAGAAACTGTCATTGCAGGTTAGAGGGAACTTTCAAGATAACAGAGAAAATGATGGTTCTGGTTGCACCAATTCTGCTAAGTCAAAGATAGTGCTAAATGCTCATTCCCCAAAGATATCTACATCATAGCTAATCTATCACACATGAGTAAAAGATCCTTATTTCTTGAACCCAGTTGACTAGCCTTTTCAGTATCCTATGCCAAATGTAAAGTAGCTTTTAAGTGGACCAGTCTTATTCCCCACCCCACAGTCTCCATCCCTATTTAAAAAAAATAAAAATCTAGAAAGAGATTTGAATGGAAAGCACTCCATCCTAAGAGTCCCTGTCTGGAGTAGTGCAGCCCAGACAGAGGTTTAGCACCTCACTGAGTACTAGACCCATGCAATTAGTAAATGAAGTGCAGAATTAGTACCTTAGCGGATTCAACCTTGGTTGCCTGATTTATGAATAAGCCACATGTGGCTATAAGTTTGCAGACAATGCCTTTGCGGCACTACGTTCATTACAGAAATGCATCAGCCATCTGTTCCGCTGGCAAGAGAGGCAGGATTAAGTATCATGTGACACATTGCTAGCCGTGCAACTTAACTTGGTTTAAGATGCTGCTATTTACACAGAGAGTGGACTGCTGAGGGTCTTAAATGGAGCCAAAGCTTGTTGGCTCCAAAGTCATAATCTATAAACCGGGCACCACTCTCTGACGTGGTTTTGCAAATATGCAGGATTATGAACTAGAAAAGAACGGTTTTCTGTCGAAGCCAACAAATGCAGTGATGTGATCTGAACTATTTACACCATCCGTTCATTATAGCCATAGCTTGCAGTTGTTTGCATACAAAACTTTAATTATGCAGGGGAGGAGGCAAAAAATGTCTCTGGGTGTGTGTGTGTGTGTGTGAGAGAGAGAGAGAGAGACAGACAGACAGACAGAAGACAGACAGACAGACAGACAGACAGAGAGGAGGGTGCTTTCTGGGGGAAATAGAGCTAAAACCCTATGCAGACTAACTTGGAAGGAAGACCCATATACCGGTAACTCACCAAAAATAAGGAATCATACATAAGATCAGGCTACACGTATAAAGGGTGCCTTTAAACATACAAAAGATTCAGCACCGTATAGTGACCATGAGTGTTAGACTGGAGAACTAAGTTCAAATCGCCATTTAGCCAAGAAGCTCACTGGGTGACCTTGGGCCAATCACTCTCGCTCAACCTAGCCTACCTCACAGGGTTGTTGTAAAGGTAGAATGGCATGGGAGGTGTGTGTATGCTGCCTTCAGCTCCTGTGAGGAAAGGCAGAACATAAACGTAATAAAGAAATCCTGGTTTCTTGCAATCCTAGGTATTTGTGCCACAATTACAGTCAGAAAGCATTTTGTTGATGAATGCAAAAAGGCACTCCTGAGAGCTGCCTTTGTATTAGGAAACTCAGCCATCGCTGGTCACATGTTTTTTCCACTTGCCAGTCATATTTGTTCTGTGAGGCATACAGAGGCTTGATCTACTAAAAGCCACACATAATCTGATCAAACGCAGCCCATCCTAAACTGCTCCATCTATCTTATTTATTGTCTGCATGCAGATGGCACATCATGTAACCTTCTTTTAAGCAACGTGTATTACAGACAGGAACTCAGATGGCAACAGGATTCAGAAGGGTCCAGGTCTATGCAGCAAGGGTTTCTAGCCCCCTCCCAACCCTGTCTCCAGTAACAAATAATAGGAAGAACCATCTAGACACAGTTCATGCACAGAGCTTTTGTGTGTGTTTGAGATTTAGCAAAAGCAAAGATAAAATAAAACCAGAAAATTCAAGCAGTATTTATCTCTGGCTCAGACACCATTGTTGGCAAAGCTTCCTTCTATTCCAGATAGGGAGAAAGAGATAGAAAAAGTACGCAGCAGGCATTATTCACAAGCTGGTCCTGAATGTTTGGGGCCTGAGATGCAAAAAATATGCAATCTTGGGCGCACACAGTATCATTTTCAAGTCAGGGATGCAATTTCAAAGTGGCTATCAAGATGAAAGGCTTTACGGTAAGAATAACCCTGTAATTTCCAGCTAGAATCACAAGGGATGGATAAAGCAGGGCAACATGAGCAGCAGAATCAATTCAGCTGTATTGCTCTGCAAAAGATGGTGCTTTGTCAAAGCGCAGTGCCAAGCTGTCTGTCAGGGGGGGAAGAAAATTCCCAAGTCAAAATGCTGTGCTCAGAAATTTCAGCTGGAGCCAGTTGCAAGCAGAGAGACAGAGGTGTGCTTAGATTGCCTGCATCTAACACACTTGTCAGATGTCAAGTGGCTGTGCGACTACAACCTGATGAGCCCAGTTCTTAATGTTTCTAAAGTGTTGACCCTGTCAGCTGGGCTTGTCTTTTGTGCAGGGCACAAATCAATTGCTACAGTCAGCTAATGCTACAGTGCTCAACACAATGACTCAGAAATAAGGACTGCTTAGAACACAATGCAGTGATTTTGAAACTGCCTTGGGCAGCAGATCCAGTGGTTGCAGATGGTTGCAGAGCAATGTTTTGATTTGCTTGCTCCTTGTAGATTTTTGTGCAGTGTCTCACAAAACCCTGTGGCTGCCAGAATGGTTTCGTAATTAAGGCTCGTATACTTCTGTACCCTGAAACATCTGTACGGCGTGCTCCGACTAAAATATATATTAACGTAGCATCTTCAATGTATACTGCACTTTGCATAAGAGGACATGCCCCTGCCCAACTGGACACAGGAGAGATGACAGAGGAAACAGAGGCAAATGGAGGTGCATGTTCCATGTCACTGTCTGTCTTGATCCTGTTATTCAGGGCCTTTGGTGGTATACCTTGTGAGGTCACCTTGCTTAGACATCTTTGACACAGGGTTCTCTTCTCTCTGCACCCCCTCCCTTTGGGATGCCTTGCACCCCTTGTCAGCACCTATTTGAGGTGTGCTAATGTCCAGAACCTCACATTTTTAGATAATTTTAATTTTTAAAGGCCCTTAAAGTGTCCATTGTGCACCAGCTCTATTAAGCGCAAATAAGACTGGACTTTGTGCTTGTGTTTCTTTCAGTGCTATTACATGTTACAACAGTCAAGGCAGATCCTCATTTTTGCACCTCACAATTTTTAAAGGATGCTTACGTCTGTAAACATATGACCGACGATTTCCCAGCTACCACAATTGGCCAAAGTTCCCAGGGGTATATTCACTCCTTGCTTTGAAATATGTGAATGTCCTCCAAACATTTAACAAAAGCATAGTCAATCCAGTAGAAATGCAAGGATTTGTGTTCGTTGCAAAATGTAAGCCACTTCTCTCTCACTGCAATAATATGCATCTTAAAAAGCAGAGACATCACCTTGCCGACAAAGGTCTGTATAGTTAAAGCTATGGTTTTCCCAGTAGTGATATATGGAAGTGAGAGCTGGACCATAAAGAAGGCTGATGGCCAAAGAATTGATGCTTTTGAATTATGGTGCTGGAGGAGACTCTTGAGAGTCCCATGGACTGCAAGAAGATCAAACCTATCCATTCTTAAGGAAATCAGCCCTGAGTGCTCACTGGAAGGACAGATCCTGAAGCTGAGGCTCCAATACTTTGGCCACCTCATGAGAAGACTCCCTGGAAAAGACCCTGATGTTGGGAAAGATGGAGGGCACAAGGAGAAGGGGATGACAGAGGATGAGATGGTTGGACAGTGTTATAGAAGCTACCAGCATGAGTTTGACCAAACTGCGGGAGGCAGTAGAAGACAGGAAGTGCCTGGCATGCTCTGGTCCATGGGGTCATGAAGAGTCGGACTAAACGACTAAACAACAATGTGTAGGTTTGCATACTGTACTAACCAGCAGATTTTTTTGGGGGGGGGGAACCTTTCCCAAATCTTAAGACTTAAGCCAGCATCAAGAAACACAAGTTTCTGTAGTCACTGAACTTCTGACAATGCTATCCACCAGCTCTTGTGATCACAATTTGCCTTCACCAACAGCATACGCCAGGCTTGCTCAACTTGGTGCCCCAGATGTGTTGGACTGCCACAGTACTGCACCAATTATCCCCAGCTAATACAGCTGGAAGGCTGGATTAGATTGAATGTCCATTTATTTGAGGTGGGTTAGATGGCTATTTGGACAGACTTCCCAGTTGTCTTCAGAAAGAGATATCCAGCGATGCTGGTACGTACTCATTATCTTTGTGATGTGATGAGTCCAAACGTTTGTATTAGAACACCTACCTGCAATGTAAGAATTTTGATAGGACTTGTGATGCGGCACCTGAAGTATCCCCAGTGCTAAGCATTTATAAGCTGTGTGTATTGTATTAGCTAACTGCCAAGGTTCTGCTGAGGACAGCTTTCAAAACAGATGTATCTAAAATAACTTGCTATAAAACAAAAATATATTTATTAATCAGCTTGCCCTTAAACATGTCCATATGAGGTATTGGACTACTACTCAGCTTCATAGAAATTAATTCCAGATCTGCTTCTCTCTGCTGTGAATTTTATGTACCAACTTAATCCAGCGTTGCTGAATTAATTATACTTCATACATTATAAAGGAACAAACTTATTAAATATATATATATATTCAAAAAAGAAAAAGAAAGTACATACAATTAAAAGAAACCCTTTCCAATCTCATTTAAAATAAATTGTGTTCTCCGAGTTTAGGCCTTGACCTACTAAGTAATTAACTATATTATAGTGGGTTTGCACCGAAATTCAGTGTTATACTACTTAATCTGTAGCACTGAAAAAGATTTGTCAAGCTCCAGGTTGGCCCATTTGGTATTAGTGGTAGTACCCAGAAATAACTACTCTCATGAACAATGAGAATGGCAGAATCTGGCCCTGCATAATCAAACCCAGCCATATTAATGTCAACCTCAATAACCAACAAGCAGCTAGGGGGGAAATCAATGCTAGACGATAAAGGACAAAACTGGTCAGGAAAGAAAATTTATTGGAAAAGCTTCTATGAGGGAACTGCAGACAAAGAAGAATAAAAATAGTCCTCGTCTCCTTTTCGGTCTCTAATATGCAGCATGAAGTGCATTGCTAAGTGCATAAACAGCTTCTTGGTTACTGTTGTTAAAAATAAAAATATGTCAAGAAGCTTTCAGATGTACATCTTTTCTTTCTGCTGCAGAAGAGATGCCTGGCTTTTGTGAGGAAGTGGAACAACAAAAAAACCCCACCTCCCTCTGCCTTTGCTCTGGGTAAAGGAAGAACCAAAGGGGCCTGTATTTGGGCAAGCAGAGTACCTCTCAAAAGGTGCTGAAAATTGCTGTGTGGAGGAAAAGAGCACTCAGGATCAGACCTGTGCTCTTCGAGGTGACTGGCAAAGTCAAGCCTTAAGAGCCTCAGAAGAGACTCTTGATAGCTGAAGAACGAAAGTGATGACATCAGCCAGCTAAGGAGTGAATAGGGAACGCAGGGGTTGCATATTTTAAGAGTAATCATTAAAATGGTTCGTAGTTATTCATATGCCACAAAAAGAGTTTCACTCTGCCTGCCGTTGGGAGAAGGGCCATAATGCATTCAAAGATCCTAACTTCAATCCCCATCTCCAGGTAGGGATGGTAAGGAATCATTGAAAATAGTCCTGTAGGTCTGCTTTACCTGTGGAAGGTCCCAGCTCCAGGCAGGGCTGGAAGAGAATCCTGTCTGAAATCATGGAAAGCCACCGCCAGCCGGTGTCGATGGACCAATGGTAGGACTCTAAGGCAGCTTCCTACGTTGCTATATACTGAAGAGCCACTGGCAGTGAGAGAAGATAATACTTAGATAGACTGACATAGTATAAGGCAGGCTACTGTGTTCCCATATGCCACTGGGTTTTTGTTTTTTTTAAATAAGCCACGACAGGACATCCTGAGATGCTAATACAAGGAAACAGGTGTTGATTGGGCTGTTAAACAACAAAGCCCAGCCCACCCTCAGAAAACAATTGTGCTGCTAGTATAACTGGATGTGGACAGTGAAGATGATCCCCCAAGTGACAAACAGGAAAACAGCTCCTGCATTCTAAAAATTGGCAGGTGTACATTTATTCTCTTTAGCAGAATTTCTAGAAAACTGTTTTGTAACATTCAGGGGGCAGGGATATGGATGCGAATTGGACATTTCTTGCCAGTACTAAAATAAGCAGCATGATTCAGTTCCAAATCAATTACTCTCAACCAAATAAACAATACAATTGTAGAGTTGGAAGGGACCACGAGGGGCATCTAGTCCAACCCGCTTCAGTTCAGGCATCCTTTGCCCAGTGTATGGCTATCAGTCATTAAGAGAGACTGGGTTAGATCTTCCAGAATTTACTCCAAGCATTCAGTAATATGGGGAATAGTATTTCAGATATTACTAGGATGCTTGTATTTGCTTTTGCCTTCCCTTCCACCTACCATTTCACTTCTCACTGTTGCTCCTTATATACCCTTGTTCCCTTCTTTTTGTTATGGGATGAAATAACTCTAGAACTCATACACAACAGCTTGTAGATGTTTTTAAGATACGGGTCACAACACTGTGAGCCATAGTAAATGCTCAGAGCTGCACACCAGCGAACACATCATGCCTACTGCCTTTGGGGGGTAACACAAGGAAATAGGCAAGCATTATCACACTGCTGGGTGTGATTTTTCATCACCATGTAAGCAGAATCATCCAGGGTGTTGTCCACGTGGCAAAACCTGGCCCCTCGTACGGAAAAATGTCGCTTTGCATGGATTGTGCTCTCTGAATTACAGTGACCATTTCAGAGATGAAAAGAGTTACTTGCAGCACATCTGGACATGCAGTAAGAACCCCTTCTAGGCAACTGAAGATGGGAGCTTTTGTAAACTGAAAGCATCGATTCTTAGGGCTATGTGTTCAAAGGTAAGCTAGTAAAAAAAATGGATTGGTAACCGTGTTTAATTTATTTACAACTATCTGAAAGCCTGTTACAAGCAGAATGTATTATTTCATCTGTAACCAGCACCTATTCTTCAATAAAAGAACCAACCAAGTAAAATATCTTATTTGAACAAGTAATTGTTTTCACTGTGTTCAGGCCAAGGTGAATTTGCAAATTTAGAAGGAGGACAGAATGACGCTGGCCCATCAACAGGATCCATTTAAATCCTCCTCCTCCTACTCCTTCTTCTTCTTCTTCTTCTTCTTCTTCTTCTTCATTGTGCAGTTCTGATGTCATTCTGTTGGGGCATTGGTCTCTGCTTCAGGAGAAATTTAACTGCCCAGATGCCGCATAGTAACCAGAGCTATCTGAGGAGAATCTCTGAGAGAGATAGACTGAATTCAGCTGCACTTCTCCGAAGCAGAAGTTCTCAAAGAGCTGAAAGAAACGAGATGGAAATAATGAAAGATCCCTAAAAGCGTGTGCTCATATTTCTTATGAGTGAAACTACAAACAATCTTTTTGAAACACTTTGATTCTGTAGGACGGTAAGAAGCCAGATATAATAGCATCACAGATTATATCTGGCCTCTGGCCCAACCGTTGGCCATCTCTGTTCCTGACATTTCACAATCCTTGTTTACACTTGCCTCAGTAAAACACAAAGGGAAACATAAAAGTGGAATCAGCCCTTCAGACAAACTTTTGCTTGCTTCCCTGGGCTCCCCACAGATTGGAATGTGAGTGCTGCTCCTTCATCAGCCAAAATGAGCTCAGTGACCAAGTTCCCAGGAGATTTCATAAAAGATGTTACTGCCTCTCTTTGTTGGTATGTAGTGGTATCACAGAAGATATGGATTGTGGCTCAAGGAAGAGGTAAAATTATAGTTTAACCCTGAGTCTTCATTCTTCAGTTAGGTCTGAATATAATTTAGGCAATGACCATTTTAGGTGCATCTGACTGACATGTGATCACCGGTGCCACAGGTCCTTTTGGACCTGGAAAAATGGCAGAACAGGGGTGGGCTGGGGTGTAATGGAGCAGGGAATGTGGGGTAGGGGGACCAGGAACAACAGCCCCACACAAAATGGTCATCGCCAGTAGTTCATGAACTAGGTTCATGAGGCTTTCTTTGGTGAGAGCTAGTTTGTAACGTCCATGATAAATAAACTGAGTTCATTTAATTAATGCAGGTTATCAAACTGCATACTGAAAGGAGACACCCTCGGGTGCTTTTGTTCAAGATAAGAAGAGTGAACCGGAACAAAAGGCTCTTTGACCCAATTCCTTCAATGAAGTCTTTCAAGGGCACTTAAACCACACACACACCACTCCTGAAACCTAGTTCAGGAGAAAGCTGCTCCAGTGATTAACACTGTACAGGAGACAGATGAAACGATTACATCAGAATATATTACAAAGGGAAGCCAGTAATATTGCTTTGAAGAAACATCACATTCAAGTGCTTTTCTCCATTCCATTAAGAAGCAGGAAATTGCTCTGCCTTTAAAATGCCTTTGGAAAACCTTTCAACAAATACACTAATTTCAAACTCGGTTTAATGCTGCTGTGCCAAGGGTCAACAAGGGCTGAGTAGCTTAGCTTCCCCATCATGGAGGCCTTAAAAACCCACACTTCATCTGACTTCTTCTGCATTTTATATCTGTCCCTACAGACCTCAGCTCAACATGGGCACATACAACTCTTCTGGCCATTAAAGACTCCCAGCGGCTTTGAAAAAATCTACAGCTTCATTAAGCCCTGCTCATCCAGAGCTGACAATGCATTGATTCTTCTGTGTGAAACCAATGAAATTCAAAAATTTACTTGGCAGGCATAATGTAATATATTTCACTTCTTTCCAGAAATGTACTGAACTCTCCCTGGTACGGTTTATCTTAAACCACTTCTTCACTGATGTTGGCCATTTATTTTATGTTCCATGACCCTCTTATGTAAATCAGGATTTGCCCAAGTGGGTGGGGCATCTGACACCATAAAGAGTATGCTAGGGGAGCCTGAGGGAGAGACATATACTGTACTGCCCAAAGATGATTTCACTTCAAGGCAAGTTGCAGCTGACTGGGCTGTACTGTCAATCTCGCTGCAGATATATGGATGGGGATGGGCAGAAGCAAAGACAGGGACTTAAAACGATCTGGTTGGCTGGGCAGAATACATTACGGGATCTAATAGGTAGGCAAAAGGAATTTCAAAATCTTGAGTCTCTAAGTACGGAGTCTTGGAAACAAACAAAAGGTTCTTAAACTATAAATCTAGCTTTTATTTTCAGATCCTTCTTCTACCCAAGAGCTTCAGAGAACAATAGCAAAGTAGAATTGCAATAAACCTCACTGTCCCTACTATGGCCCCTCCTTGGCTATTTTTCTGGTTGCCTGGATGGAGGACAGAGTGGAGTGCCAGTGTAGAACCCTCTTTTGGTTCTGGCCCCGCCCACCATTGGCATGTGGCCCCTTGAAGCATGCCAAGAAGGGAATGTGGCCCTCACTGTCCTCCACCCTTGGTCTGGGAGCTGGTCCTGAAAACCTGACTTGCTAACAGATTGCCCCATCAACTGCTTGAAGTGCAGTTACATTTTGAAAAGGACATGAAACTACACAGGAGGAGGCCAAAAATTACTTTGAAATAATCAAGATTCTAGGAAAATCAATATTTGGATAATAAGACTTATCCTTTTATTGCTTCTTGTTAAGCCTAGCGAGAATACAGTTTATCGAAAACTTTTAAAAATAAGTTTTGATTTCATATTTAAAGCACAGGGTAAAAAAGGAGAATTGAAAAGCCCTATGCAATTATAAACATGAATCCATAATGAGGCTCCAAAATCTTATGTTCCTGCAATCAAGATATACATTTCTCATATATAAGAACTAATAATGGTGTGTGTAGGGGGTTGTTTTTAAATTAAAATCCAGTTTGACTGAGCACAGTATTTAGAGAATATTTTTTGAAGACTACAGCAAGTTTGACAGGGCATAGGCTTTGAGCTCAGTGGCCAGAAGTGGGATTTTAAGATTACACCTGTTTTTTATTTTCCATATATTTTAAATAAGTAGCTCTCACAGGTCCTCATAATTCTACCTTTTTGCTTACTCAGCAAACAGGATGCTCCCTGCACTGCCTACACAACAGGAAATTGTTACTGTCAGATTGTTTGTGAGCCTGAAGATGTTTTTAAAGTGAGGAATATTGAAGTATCTATTTGCAGTGGCGGGGGCGGAATGTTGAAGTTTTAACTTCTAAGGGGATTATTTGCCTCAAGACAAGCTAGCACAGGAAGCTAGCATATACAGGATATTGCAAATATCTATTTGAGATAACAAAAGCAAGCTCTCTCTTACCATATAGGCAGTTCTTATTTGAAAATAAGCTCATGCACACACACACACAACCCCCCCCACACTTTTCAGGGGGTACTCAAGAATACGCAGTACCGGCACCTCTTTTTGTTGTTGTTAAAACGTGTAGCACTTACTGTAACAACTTCATGGTGAGTACCAGCACCTATTTTTCTAGAAAAAAGCATTATATATATATGTATACACACATACACACACAATCACACTTTGCGTACACCGACACAGACATAGTAACAAAGTGCAAGAGCATTCTCCCCTTCTGTGGTTTCTAGCAACTGGTATTCAGAAGCATATTGCCTTTGACAATGGAGACAGGAAACAGCCATTATGGCTAGTAACCACTGAAAGTCCTATTGTCCATCAATTTGTCAAACCCTCTTTCAAAGCCATTCAAGTTGGTAGCCATCACTGCCTCATGTGGGACTGAATTCCATGGTTTCACTAAGCTTCACTGGGTGTCTGCAAGTTCTAATGTTATGATCCACTTTCTCCATGCCATGCTATGATTTTATAAACTTCTATCATGTCACCTTTTGTCTAAACTAAAAAGCCCCACAGCAGCCCTACTGCTCAAGAAAGGGTAAGGGGAAACATGAAGCTGCTTAGTCATGCTGGCCACATGACCCAGAAGCTGTCTGTGGACAAATGCTGGCTCCCTCGGCTTATAGCGCAAGATGAGCACCACAACCTCAGAGTCGTTCACAAATGGACCTAACGGTCAGGGGTACCTTTACCTTTTTTTAAGATAAAAAAGGGGGGAAAGGATATACTTATTTAAAATAGCCACCTGTTCCCAGAGTGGGGTGTGACCTCAACATGTAAAAAAAAGAAGACAGAAAATAGCACTTTCCCACAGTGAAACTTACTAGAAGAATTGATTTTTCTGGAAAGGTACCAGCCGTACATTAATCATGAGCATAGCGCAAGATTTAAGGAACAGCTGCAGCCTTTTCTCTTCCCGCTTTCACATCAAGCCTCCTACTTTTATTACCTCACTTTATTCCCTCAGGCCTCAGGTGACTGAAGCCGCTGGATACCAAGAGTAGGCAGATGAGGGCGACAGCGTAGTCCAAAGGGCATAAGCTCCCTCTCAAAGCACAGCTAGGAAAGAGGCTCTTGGGAGCACAGATGGTAGCAAAAGGTCTCTGATATTGCAATGTTAATTTCTTGCTTTGAAAAAGGGGTCCCGTGACCCTGTCTCCTGAGCTTAGGTTTAATAGAGCTGCCTTCTACTTCACATCTGATGAAGTTGACTCTGGGCCACGGAAACCGATGACATAATCAATTAGTTTTCAAAAGGTGCCACACCTGTCCTGATTTTGCTTACATTATTTCAGATTAAGGGGAGTTAACAGCAAGTAAAAAAAACGTTAGCAAGTTGGATGATCTTTCGTTTGCCCTCCTTTGTTTTCTCAAGCCACCCAAACTTTATTTATGAATGTAGGTCTTTTGAAGACAGAGATGAAACTGCTGTAGGCCACCCTGAACCCATGGTCTTGAATGGGTTATAAATAGGATTAATAAAATTAAAATTTTCAAAAATATTTTAACTATAGTATTAAGAATACTTTAAAGTGAGGCTTTCATAAATGTGCTCAATATATTTTGCTTTGGGCAGAATGAATGAAACACCCCCTTTCTCGTCTGCTCGGTTCCTGCAGTTTCCTTTCGGCTACCTTCCCCCAAAATGTGATGCACCACTTCTGTTTTCAAACCTGGGAATAGCTACAATCAATCACAGGGCTAATATACACCAGGCTACCAGCAGAGCAGCACTGCAGCTCCATTTATGAAAACCTGGACATGCCAGCACAAACTACTGCTTTTAAATCACCTGTCATGAACGCAGCAAGCATGAGAAACATTAATAGATTTGGCTGAAAAGGTGCTGGGCAGCAGGACGACCAAAAGAGAGGAAGGGGAAGCAGAGGTATTTAAAACTTCCTTCACGTAATCTCTCTGCTCTGCGCTTTGGGCAGCCTGGCCTGGATTTCACTGTTACTGTCACAGGTATTGATCAGTTCCAAAAGCTTTGCTCTTGCCTAAAGTGGCAAGGC